GTACAATCCCTGCTAGTACAGGGTTAATGTAGTCCAACTGTCCATATGGTTTTATTTATTGTTTTAATGATTCCTGGAAATCTTGTTATACTCATTCTCCTTTTCCAAGAGCAGGCTGTCCTGTGATATTGGGTATTTTATTGTGCACCTTTTCTGTCAGGAAGAATCAGAAAAAAGTTATTCATTCAGTGAGACTTGCTCAATCAGAAACAAAGAGGGCATGTATCCACAGGTAATTTGTTTTCTTAATAGCAGAAATTTCCCCTAATAGTATTTAGGGTTTCTCAGGATTATTGGGAATGAAAAAAAGAAAATGTCCACTAAGGATTATAAGAGAGGAAAAAAGGTACATTATTTATTTCCTTCATTGGTTAATACACTTACAAAATTGGTTAATACACTTTATTGGTTAATACACTTACAAAAATACACTTACAAAATACACTTACAAAATACACTTACATTGGTTAATACATGGGACTTCCATATTTTAATCAGTTCCCAAATCTGGAAGAGAATTTCTTTGCTTAAAACACCATTAAAACAAAACCAAAAAGTATTTCAGGGCACATTAAAAATCAAATTGAACTCACAGAGCCCAGATCGTATCTCTTTCCATCAACAATTTGGTTCAGGATTATAAAATCATCATTCCAGATCTGGAAGAGGTTAGCATCTTATTCAGTCCCCCTATTTTACAAATCAGGGGTCCAAGGAAAAGGGAAACTAAGTAACTTGTCCAAGCTGACACAGATCTTAAGTGTCAAAGGTTGGATTTGAACTCATATTCTCTTACTGCAGAGACATTGCTCTTTTTACTGGACCACACTCTTACCAGATTACTCTTGTCTCAGGGAAGTAGCCTAGTATACTGTAAAGAGATATGGCCTTGGAGTCTGTAGAGACTTATGCTTCCAAATTACTTGTCCAATGCCAAACATGTAGTTGCCATGGTGAAACTGTATGAGTTTACAGATCTCCAGGTAGAGGAGAGCTTGGAGACCATTTAGGTCAGCCTCCTCATTTTAGAGATGAGGACACTAAAGCTCTGAGTCACAGGTGCTAAATGTCAGAAATTAATGTGGATTCTCAGATTCCAGTGCTAGAGTTAGACCTTCTGCATTTCACTGCTTCCGCTGCGTTCTGAATCGGAAACACATATAAGCTATATGACCCTGAGCAAATCACCTTTAATGAGCCTCAGTTTTCTCATCTGAAAGATAGGGATGATAATAATTGTACCCACCTCACATACTTGTGATAATCAAAAGAAGTTGTTTATATAACATATGAAGCTCCCTCTAATTCCCAGCTATGATTTTCCTTGTGGGCAAAGACTGTTACCTTTTTGTCTTTGAATCCTTAAAAGTATTGCAGGAGCATAAGAAAAGCTTGTGGATTGGTTTATTATTGGGGGTGGGATAGGGATAATGTTGGAAAAGAAGCAAATAGCATTTTGGAATTGAAGTCTGAAGGACCCAAGTGCAAATCCATGACATGGATAAGTCACCTAATTTCCACATGCCCTGCCAACTCCCTAAGACATCTCTAGAAAGCTAATTTATTTTTTCCCTTGGAGGGAATTCCCATGACTGAAGTTTTCAACCTCTGAAGAAATTGTAGATCCTCTGCCTTCTGCTATTGTAATCCAGCAATGAAGCATTTTGTTATATGGTCCAGAAAGTGTTCCAACAGCTTTATCTAATATAGTGTGCAAATAAGATAAAATGAACTTCAAGACATCTTAAGACTAAGGATTTCTCAAAGTTATTTTTTTCCCTCTGAAAGGTAACAATATTTGGAATGAGAAAGTGTCTTATTTAAAGGCAGAGAGCAGTGCATAGACACAGGGCAGAGGCAAAAATAATTAAGAGCTGAAGGTCAAGGTTTGTTTTTGCAGAAAAATAAGAGGACAGTTTGTCTTTTGTCAGTTACTCTGTAATGAGAGTATTTTTAGAATGTTTTCTTTTTCCCCTTTCCTTAAGGTTTATTGTATGACGTACATCCAAAGCTGCCCTGAGCATCCAAAAACCACTGTACATTTCAATAGATTTTTCCCTCCTCTCCCATAGATTCTAAAATGTATGGTCACTTTCATTCAAGGTTCCCACCATTTCTACTTAAAAAAAAAAACAATTTATCTTTGGTAAATTTCAGTTCAAGGACCGGGGTTCAATTCCTGGCTTTCCTACAGCCAGCTTGCATGGTTGACTACTTTTAACTCTCTGGGCCTCAGTTTCTTTATCTTTAAAATAAGTGGGGGTTGGACTAGATATTCTTTTAAGTCCCTTCTAGTTCTGTGTCTTTTGAATCCAGGCTTCCGGGCAGCTAAGTGGTGCCGAAAGGCATAAAGCACTGGGCCTGGAGTCAGGAAGACTCATCTTCCTGAGTTCAAATCAGACCTCAGACACTTACTAGCTGTGTGACCCTGGGTAAGTCAAGTAACTCCGCTTTCCTCAGAGAGCTGGTGAAGGAAATGGCAAACCACTCCGATGTCTTTGTCAAAAAATCCCCAGATAGGGTCATGAAGAGTTGAATGTGACTGAAATGATTGACCAACAAAAACGTGGACCCAGACTATGGCCTTTAGGTCTTGAAGAAGACAGATAACTGTTGGAGAAATAATCTGCCTTTCCTCCTGTTCTGAAATCTCCTTCCTGCTCTTGAGAAAGCTCTGAGTTGATAAATTCAGTAAGTTGGGCCCAAGAATTTGGTAAATCTGACAGTCCATGAGGATGTAGCATGCATGGAAAGAATGTGTATGTGCACGTGTGTGTGTTTCGGTTTAATTTTGTTTTTGTTTCTTTTAAATTTCTTCCCTAAGGTAATTAAGGTCTTCTGATTATATAGTGATATTTCTAGATATATAATTTCTCTATCCCAAACTGACAAGCTACCTTCCTTGGCAGTCTTTTGATAAAAAGTCAATGAATGGAGGAATTGAGGGTGGGGAGAGACAAGCAGATTGCGAAGGGAGTTCAGGTCCTTACAGAAAAGTTAGTACTCTTGTAATATTACTGAAATCCACAGCTATCTTTCATCCTACAATCAATGCAAAGGAATGAGGGCCAATTTCCTGAAAAGAGGGTGTGGGAGTGGCTTTTTTTATTCTGAGAAATACTCTTAGGAAACAGAGAAGTTAATTATAGGCTTTTACCAGTCTGTAACTTGGTGCTGGAGACATTGGACAATTGTCAAACCTTTAATGCAATAAGGAAATGAAAAATCAAATTTCAGCTGCCAATTACTCAGTAGCCAATTGCTAAATCTTTATACTAATGTGTAATGTAAGGATCCGTTATATTAAAACAAGACAAAAGAAAGTCACAGAATCTCATGAGCTGGAAAGGACCTCTGAAGTTCTCTTGTCCAACCAATACTTGTATAGGAATTTCCTGTTGAGCATCCCCCTAAAAATTGTCATCCAATCTTCACTTAAAGGCTTCAAGTCAAGAATAATTCACCACCTACCAAGGCAACACAAAGATTCCTCATAAATTTACAAATTTCAAAGGGCATGCATTTGAAACTAGGATGCGCTTTCTTATTATATGTCATACCGAGACTGAGCAAAGCTTTCTGCAAGTCTCATATAGATAGGATTCTTGAAGGCTGTTAGCCCATGAACCAGAGTTCCAGTTGTGGTGTCCTTCCACCACATTTCATAAAGAGTTAGGGTTGTAGGGAAATATAGAAGTTAAGACTTTAAATTGTGAATCTGTTGTCCCATACATGTAGGCTTATTTAGAAGTGCTCATAATCCTACCCAGTTTCCAGAGTTTACAACTGCCCTCAAATACATGTAACTGAAAGGTTTAACTGTAGATCACTTCATAACACTCTTCTCATTGGTAAAGATAATGATGACTTCAGGCAGCATTCCTCCATAAAGGGTGGCAGGGGCACAAGAGTTTGGTAAATTGGAACTTTGTTCTTCCTTCTGGCTTTGAGAAGGGGAACTGTGCCCCTTACCCCAAAAAGTTATTTTGATAACCAGTTTATCTCCCTAGAGACTTGGGAGCTTTCCCTTTGAGTGAGATTGGGAATTCTCTCTGCTGCCATGAGATACTCCCAATGTATACCACCTGGTGTATTCTGAACTATGGAATTTTTCTGATTTCTCTTTGCTATCTGCTTGGACAAACAGGTTTATTCACGATTTATTATTTTTAGTGGGCTGTTCAATAACCAGCATTTAGTGGGAAGGCCCCAAGCCTTTGGATGTATATAAGCAGTACCTCTTCTTTTTTATTGGATAGTGATTAGGGAAGTGGCTGGAATCTAAAAAGCAATGGAAAGACCCTCACCCCAGAGAGGCTGGGGCTCTTTGGGCAGGGAAGATGCCTGAGGGTCTTTCAGTCCCCTTACGTCATAGTGTATTTGCACTAATAAACCAAACAATTCCTGCTGGCACAAAAGTCAACAATGATTAATGCTAAAATATAGTGAGTTGTTCTGTTTTTCTTTTTCTCCTTTTAGAAGTATCTTATTTATACATTAATGTCACAAATTACTTTTCTCCATAAATATAAATGTGCTCTGAAGATTACAGGACTATATTTTTAAATAACTTGCATATGAGCAGGAAACTCTCAGAACTGCATTCTTTTATCCCTTCATCCTCCCCAAAACATTCAGGATGGAACAAAGTTCTTCAGAAAAGAATCTAAACCACTCCTTTCCACTTCTGGCACCAATGATAAACTACGGTCCACTGATTTTATCTGAGGGTATTATGCTGTTCTCCTGGGCTATCAGAATCCTGTAATTTAAATGTTGAAGCTGCCCCCATTCTTCACCCCGCAAAGTAAGAAAGGTTAATTACTAAATATTGGTTGTTTTTCCTACCGTTGCCAACGTGAACAGGCCATTTCCTATAGTCCTTTGCTCCCTTCCTGTCTACTTCCCTTCACCCCTCAACTTTTGGAACAACTTGGCCGGGTCCAAAGTGGGTGGGGAGTGGGGATACAAAAACTACTGCCTGGGTGTTGAGCCACTTGGGTCTGCCAGAATCAATTGCCCGAGCCAAATGCCTAGGGGTGAGGAGAGAGGAAGAGCAAATCAAAAAACTCTTCCGTGAAAACTGCTCCATTAGAAGACCCTCTCCCCCAGCAGGACTTGTCTGACTGTTTTGTCTTCGGATCTGTCTCAAAACATCACAAGGGAGGGGCACCATCACTGGCTTGCTCTTGTAACTTCCACAGAGCCATATTTGCGCTCTCTCTCTCTCTCTCTCTCTCTCTCTCTCTCTCTCTCTCTCTCTCTCTCCTCTCTCTCTCTCCCTCTCTAATCTTGGGCAGGAGCCCAAGGAAAGTGCTCTCTAGGCTACACCCTGCTTCACTTTGCCTTTCTAGACCTGCCCCACCTTCTCCTCCTCCTTTTTCCGCTACTCCTCTTCTTCCCCTTTTTGAAAACATTCATTCCTTTTTCAACTCCAAGAATTCCCCACCCTTCCGAGGCTCTTCTGGGAACTTGGAGCTATCTAGAGAGAGAGAGCACGGAATCCAGCCTGTCCTGGGTGGGCGACACGAAGGTGGAGTGGGTGGATGGGGCAGGGTCCTGGCCAGCGTTGCTTTGGGAAGGGGGCTGGTTGGGGCCGAGGACTGGACAGCTCCTGCCTTCCGTTACTACATTCCTGGGGCGGAATATCCTCCCTTTGCCCAGTAGGGTGGTTGAGGCTCGGTAATCACCCCGAGAAGCGAGTTGCTGTCGCCCTGAGAGTTTGACGAGCAGTGGAGAGGAGAACGGAAGAGGGGAGAGGGGAAACGGGAAAAGCAATCACAGCTTGGCTTTCACCAACTGGGTGGTATCAGACCAGTTAGGGGAGCGGGAGGTGGGGTGGAGAGGAAGGCATTAAGGACGTGGGCACAGTTACCAACTTTTCAAGCGGCTGGGCTCCTCTGGGAGAATCTTTTCCTGGCCCCGCGGGGCAGCCTCTTCGCTGAAGCTCAGGATTTTCGGGAGCTGCTGAAACACCTCCCCTGGTTCCAAGAACTTCATCTGGTTTTGGGAAAGCTTGATTTAGCCCAGCGCCTGTCTGCCAAGCAGCCAGCCAGTCAACAAGCCAGCACTGCTTTCCAGGTACTATGCTTAGCACAGAGAATACAAAGAAAGGCCTAATAGCCATAGTAAAGAACAGAAAGAGGGGGAGAGAGAGAGAGAGAGAGAGAGAGAGAGAGAGAGAGAGAGAGAGAGAGAGAGAGAGAGAGAGAGAGAGAGAGAGAGAGAGAGAGAGAGAGAGAGAGAGAGAGTCTCTGCTCTCAAACAACACACACTGATGAGGAAAACAACATATAAACAACTACATGCTCATAAGATGTATACGGTGCAAATGGGAGATAGTCTTGGGGGAGGGAAGGAGAGTAAAAGGCTTCTTGAAAAAGGTGACAATTGAGCTGTGTCTTACGAGGAGCCAAGGAATTAGTGAGGTGGAGGCAAGAAGGGAAAGCATTCTAGTTATGGGGAGATCTAGTGAAAAAGCCCAGAGCCTAGAGATGGGAGTATGATTTTGCAAGAAGGTATCATGGCTGGCTATAGGTTGTAAGGAGTGAAAGGTAAGAAGGCTGGGAAGGTAAGAAGGGGTCAGTTTGTGAATGGCTTAAAAAGCTGAAGAGAGAATGTTATATTTGAGCCTGGAGGAAATGGGGAGCCACTCTCATTTATTGAACAGGGCTTGAATGTTGTCTGACCTGTGCTTTAGGAAAATTACTTTGACAGGTGAGGTGAGCATGGATTGGAACTGGAAAGATTTGAGGCAGGGGAACCAATTTGGAAGCTGTTTCCAATAGTCCAGGTGGGAGATAATGAAGACTTGAACTGAGGAGATAGCTATGTAATTACAGAGAATGTGTCTAATTCAAGAGATGTTGTTAGCTAGAAATGCAATTGTAGAAACAGCAGGATTTAGTAACTGATGAGATAAGGGTAATAATTGTGATGGAAGACTTGAGGATGACACTGAAATTGTAAGTCTGGGCACCTGAGAGGATGGTAGTTTCTCAGCAGCAAGAGAAAATTTAGGAAAAAGGGAAAGGTTGAGTTTGAAATGCCTGCAGGACATCCAATTTGAGGTGTTCAGGAGTCAGCAGGTGATGCTCGACTGGATCTCAGAGGAGAGGTTAGGGTTGGATATATGGTTCTGGGAATTATCTGCATAAATATGATAATTGAACCCTTGGCAACAGATGACATAACACAGTAGCTAGTGTAGAAGCAGAAGAACATAGAGCCCAAGACAGAGCTTTGGACGACACCCAAGGTATAACCTGAATGTAGATTCAACACAGGAGACTGAGAAAGAGTGCTCAGTCAGGTAGGAGAGCTAGGAGAGAACAGCATTTGGAAAACCTAGAAAAGAGAACAGATCCAGAAGAAGAGGATTATCCACAATGTCAAAGGCCACAGAAAGGTTAAAGGAAAGTTCAGGATTAAGGAAAGGCCATTAGTTTTGACAATTAGGAGAGCATTGCCAGGATTTAGAAGGTGGCCTCCAGGTCCTGAAGGTAGGTAGGTCTCTACCCTGGGTTCCAGTGGGGAAACTAACCCTAAGTCAATTTCATGCAATAGCTGGAGGAAGTAACTGTAAGATGCTAAATGAAGTCTTCTCGTGGGTAAAGGAAAATTAACAATAGACATTTCTTGGGTGGCTAGCTAGCGATGTTAGAGGTTAATTAGGAGGCTGTAGACCTGGTAGGGACTCTAGAAGTAATCTAATTCTAGCCCTACCTTTTACAGTTGAAGGTAAGAGACAGAAGGCAAGACAGAGTACAAGAGAGGTGAAGTAGATTGTCCATAATCACATGAAGATGTAGCAGGTAGATTTCTGGGCTTGTAATCTAGAGAAACATGGCTTAGAATCTTGCCTCAGACATTTACCAACTATGAACCTAAGCCAAGTCATTTAACCACTGTGAGTCTCATGTCTCTTTCTCGGTAAAATGAGGGTAATAATAGCAAGAAAAAGATGAGGATTTTGTGAGCATCGAGTAAGTATGTAAGTATACAGAGTAGTGGTAGTGTTAAGTGACAGTGCTGGGATTTAAACCCAAGCCCTCTTTCTTCCTAGACTGTATTTTTGGAGCATTGAAGATTTCCACTCTTTCAGGGTTTTGCTGGGCATTTCTTGCACAGCTCTATACTCATGAGGCTAACCTTGCTGCAAATACACACTTCTTTGAAGAAGGTAAAGCTGTCCTATCCTAGATGTTATGATTTTACCTCTCCCTGTCCTGCTTTGTCCCAGACACCCCTAGTTCCTACTAATTATTTGGCTGGCAAATATACCCTTAAAGCATGTTTGATGAAAAGGAATTTACTGTTTTTAAGTTTTCCTGCAGATAGAAAAGCAGTGGGCCATTACTTTATCATGCTTGCCTTGCTGTTTTGAAATAAAAAAAACAACTTTGATTATAAAGTTTAGATTTACCCTTATTCTGTTAATTTATGTGGATGTGCCATTTTATTTTTATATCCTCAGCTGGGTACTTAAATTCCAAAATAAAAGTAATGTGTAAAGATTAAGAGTGTATGTTTAAGCTTGTTCTAACAAGTGGCTCTAAAGGACCAAATCTGGTTCTCTAGTTAAATGGTTTAGAAAGGAAATTGTTTGGGGTGCTGGTCTTGGGGAGCCAAAGTCAGTGTCTCATAATGGCATGACAGTGAAATCTGACCCCAGCCCTAAACATACTCTTTCATTTCCTGCTTTTTTCTCCTCTCATTCTGGCTTCTTTGCCTTGTTCTTGTTGCCTTTTTCTGTCTAATAGAGCCACCAGATCTCCTCCTGGAACATAGTAAGTATACTTGTTGGCTGACTGACTTCTTTGTTTTTAATTTTCCAAAGATTTATTAAACATTAGTCTTTTAAGTACATTTGATGCTATGTCTAGTGTATTTAGCTAATTCATTGATCTCTCCTTTTTTTCACCTATTTGCAGTTAATTTTTTTACATTTTTATTTTAAGTTTTGAGTTCCAAATTCCACCCCTCTTTTCTCTCCCCTCCCTGATGCTTGTGATGATAAGTAATCAGATATAGATTATATATGTGCAATTATATAAAACATTTCCATATTAGTCATTTTGTAAAAGAATATTTGAATAAAAAATGAAAAGAAAGAAAGTGAAAAATAGCATGCTTCTGTCTATATTCAAACAATATCAGTTCTTCCTCTGGAGGCACAAAGTATGCTTCATCATTAGTCCTTTGGGATTGCTTTGGATCATTGTATTGCTCAGAATAACTAAGTCATTCACAGTTCTTCATCAAATATCTGTTACTATGTGCAATGTTCTACTGGTTCTGTTCACTTCAATATGCATCAGTTCATGTAAGTCTTCCAGATTTTTCTGAAATCATCCTGCTTGTTATTTCTTATAGCACAATAATATTCCCATTCAATTATATACCACAGCTTGTTTCAACATTCCCTGATTGATGGACATCCCTTCAATTTCCAATTCTTGTCCACAAGATCTAACATGGACATAGATCTAACATGGATATTGCTGGATCAAAGGGTATGCACAGTTTTACAACCCTTTCAGCATAGTTCCAAACTGCTCTCCAGAGTGGTTGGAGCAGTTCACAACTCTACCAAGAGTGCATTAGTGTCCCAGTTTTCCCATACCCCTCTAACATTCAACAATTATATTTTTTGTCATGTTAGATAATCTGATACGTCTGAGCTGGTACCTCTGAGTTGTTTTAATTTGCATTTCTCTCATCAATAGTGATTTATAGCATTTTTTTCTTTTTTGTCATTTTTTTCATATGACAAGAGATAGCTTTGATTTCTTTGTCTGAAAACTGTCTGTTCATATCTTTTGACTAGAAATAAGTGTCACAATTTTTCCCCATTTTTCTGCTTTCCTTATAATTTTAGTCACATTGGTTTTGTTTGTGCAAAACTTTTAAATTTTCTATAATCAAAATTATCTATTTTACATTTTGTAATGCTGTCTACATCTTCTTTCCTCCTAAATTCTGCCCTTATCTATAAATCTGACAAATAAATTATTCCATGCTCTCTTAATTTGCTTATGATGTCACCCTTTATATTGAAATCATATACCCATTTTGACCTTATCTTGGTAAAAGGTGTGAGATGTTGGTCTATACCTAGTTTCTGCCGTATTGTTTTCCAGTTTTCCCAGTAGTTTTTGTCAAATAATGATCTTTTGTTCCAAAAGCTTGGATCTTTGCTTGTATCATATTCTAAATTACTATGGTCATTTACTATAATGTAATGTGTACCTAAAATATTCCACTGATTCACTGATTTCTTAGCCAGTAACAAATTGTTTTTATAATTATCTCTTTATAATACAGTTTGAGTTCTACTACAGCTGAACCACTTTCTTTGGCTCCCCCCCTTGATTCCCTTAACTGTCAATTCTTCCAGATGAATTTTGCTATTGTTTTTTGTAGCTCTATAAAATAATTTTTGACAATTTGATTGGCATGGCACTGAATAAGTAAATTAATTTAGGAAGAATTGTTATTTTAATTATATTGACTTGACCTACCCACAAGCAATTAATATTTTTCAATTTTTGTGACATATATTTTATAGTTGTATTCATATAGTTCCTGGGTTTGTCTTGGCTGGTAGACTCCCAAGTGTTTTATAGTGTGTACAGTTATTTTTAATGGGATTTCTCTTTCTAGCTTTTGCTGCTGGACTTTATTGGTAATATATAGAAATGCTGATGATTTATATGGGTTTATTTTGTATCCTGCAACTTTGCTAAAATTGTTAATCATTTCAAGTAGTTTTGTAGCTGATCTAGGATTTTCTAAGCATAATCATATGATCTTCAAAGAGTGATCGTTTTATGACTTTCAGGTCTGTTTTCTATGTCAGTTGTTTTTCCAAATGAGAAATTTCACATTTTCTTCTTTTTTTTCTTACTTTTTAAAAAATTTTGTTGTCTTGTATCTTGATGTGTCATAGAGTCATTAGTTTCCACTTGCTTAATTCTAATTTTTAAGAAATTATTTTCTTCAGTGAACTTTTGTACTTCCTTTTCCATTTGGCCAATCTATTTTTTTAGGGAATTATTTTCCTCAGTAAATTTTTGTATATCTTTTCACATGCTATTGACTCTTTTTTCATGATTCTCTTGCATGACTGTCATTTCTTTTCTAATTTTTTTTTCTACTACTCTAATTTGCTTTTTAAAATCCTTTTTTTTTTTTTAAGGTGGCAGCTAGGGGATGCAGTAGATAGAGCACAGGCCCTGGAGTCAGGACGACTTGAATTCCAATTCCACTTCAGACATATAACACTTACCAGCTGTGTGACTCTGTCACTTAACTCCAATTGCCTTGCTCTCCCCCCAAAAAAATCCTTTTTAATCTCTTCCAGGAATTCTTTTTAGACCTGAGAGCAAATTACAATTTTTGGGGGGGCTTTACATGTAGCCATTTTGACACTATTGTCCTCTTTTAAGTATATACTTGACCCTCCCTGTCGCCATAGTAACTTTCCACGTCAAGCTCATATTTGTTTTCTGCTTATTTTTCTGCCTTTTTTGTGAGTTGGTGTTTTTATGTGAGAGTTGGATTGCAGTCCTGCACTGGTCCACGTTTTTCTGTGAGTTGGACTCGGGTCCAAGCTTTTCGTGCTGGTACTCAGGATCTTCATGCTGTCTTTAGGGCTTAGCTTCTTGCCTCACTGGGAGGTTGGTTGCCCTTTTGACTTGTACTGGTTGTGGAGCTTCCCCATGGGCCTCCCCCTGGGTGTGGGATTTAGCTGCTGGCCTGCTGCAGAGGAGGGGACTTGCTGCTGGGTTGCTATGGTAACTAAGACTTTCTGGTGTCTGGCCCCAGAGGAGGGGTGTTGTTGGTTTTCTCCAGGGACGGGGCCCTGCTTCTGGGTTCCTGTGGAAACAGATTCTCTCTGTTGGCAGGCTCCAGGGATGGGGTCTTGCTAATGGGCAGCACCAGGGTGGGGCTTCACTACTGGTCAGCAATGGGGTCAGGTCCTTGGGGGTAGTTTGTTCTGGGGGTGGGGCCTTGCTGAACTGCACCAACTGCTCGCTTGCCAGGGGGCTGCTGGCTTGCCGAAGAGTAGGACATCTATGTTGCACTGCCCTAGACTTGTGGCCTGCTGTGAAGCTGACTGCTGCTGCTCTTCCGACCTTGCTCCACTCCCACCCCCAGGAGACAGACTTTTCCTGCCAGGCTAGTAAGCTGCTTCCCTGCTTGTAGGGCAATTCTCAGTCAGTTTTCTAGTTGTTTGGAGAGAAATTTGGGAAGGCTTCAAGAGAGCTCTTTTCTCATTTTGCCCTTTTGGCACGGGAAGTGCTGACTGACTTTTTTGCTAGCACTTATCAGCATGCTATTTATTATGGTCTGTTAATGAGATATCTTCTTTGTGAACTGGAAAAACTACAAAAATGTCAATTTTTCTGTAAACATTAAACTCAAAAGTGTCCACAGTACCCCCTCATCTTTTTACTTTTAAAATTCCCAAACTAGGTTCAGGAGAATGTGGTTTTGTTTTGTTTTTCAGTATAATAACTAACTGTCCTTGGCAAATATTAAGTGGCTACACGCGTTCTATTCCTTTCAGTTCTTAGTAGAGGGAACTAATCACATGGTCACATTTGCTACAGTTTGGAAATTTTCCAGATATTGTACTTGACTCCTAGTAACCCTAATATTACCCAAACACCATCCTTCTCATCTCATTTGTGAACCAGAGAAATCATTTTTTTCTCACTGAAAGGAAACTTGTCATAGTACCCTAATTGTATATTCTAATCTATGCTTAATTAAAGTATTATCTATGAGCTGACTTCATGTGTTTTCTTGCCTTTTAACTTAATAGTCCTTTATTTAGTTTGTGATTGTGCAGGTGAGGATAGTAAACATTTCTGAGAGTCTAAATTAGGAGTTCGTAATCTGGGATCTGCATTTTTTCAATTTTAATAACTACATTTCAATATATTTGGATTTCTTTTAATCCTAGTAAACTTCATACATTTAAAAACAGCATTCTGTGGAGTCTATAGGTTTTACTAAACTCCGTAAAGGGTTTATGACAAAGGGTCTAAATCAATGCATCTAAAGAGGTAAAGTCCCTAATCCAGGATTTTTCTCTCATATTTTTCCTGGAAAGAATTCCTTACTTATTTACACGTTATTCTCCTTGCTATAGAAGGGTTGATGAACTCATTTTGTTAGGCAATGGTAGAAATGAGTTCAGAGACAATGCTTCAGCCCTTCTTTTAACATTTCTCTGTTTCAGCCTCAAATTAAAGTCCTAAATGAATAGCCATCTTGAAGTTTCATGCCATTGAGCATGCACACACAAAAAAGAAAAATCATTTGGTTCAGTCTAAGTCATCCACACTTAATATATGGGAAAAAAATTCTGTGGGTATTTCATTAACTGTAGGCAGGTAGTATCAAGTTTAGCACAGAGCATCATAGCTCTAGAGCAGGCCTTCACAACATGTGGCCTGCTGAAGAATTTCAGGTGGCCCTCAAGAAATGTAAAGGAAAACATCCTCTGCATTTTTTGCAGGCCATAGGTTCTACAGGCCTGCTCTAGAGCCAGATGGGACACTAGAGTTCATCTAGTCCTGTACTTAATTTTATAATTGAGGAAAGGCAGCAGTGGAAAGAGGCATTGGGCCTGGAGTCAGGAAGACTCATCTTCTTTAATTCAAACCCAGCCTCAGATATTTACTAGCTGTGTGATTTTGGGCAAGTCCTCAGTTTCCTCAGTTTCCTCATCAGCAAGATGAATTGGAGAAGGAAATGGGAAACCCCTCCAGCATCT